TATCCAAACGGCAAGCTGAGAGCAGGTCTGTGAGCAAGCAGACCTCGTTTGTGAAAACAAACGAGGTCATTTAATCAACTATGCTGTCTTGCAGAATGTCTAGGTCTTAAGACTGGATGAACAGAAAAAGGACTGTGTTGATGGGCCTGTATTGCTTCTCTCCCCATACAAGTCAATGCAAAAGCAACTTGAATGTTGATACAGCTTAGAATTGGGTCAAATGCAGGTCAGAAGGATGTTATCTGAAGCTCAAATGCAGCTGCCTGATTGATCTTAGAAGCATCTCAGACTGATCTTACATGCAAGCAGAATGCACCTGAAAGCACACAGCATTCACCCATTAATACAAACCCTCACAAATCTTGTTTGTAGGTACAGCAGTTCACATACAGTATATGTACTTTAAAGTGACAGTAAACTCAGGAGTTACATTTAAAAAATGCATTTAAGTACCTTAACTATTAACAAAAATGTTATGTATCTGTGTATCACTCAACTGTGGGTCCTCAAATCCTCTCTGATTTGGTGCGGACACTGTCCTTCCTTCTGGAGGGGGGCTACTTTTGTTCCCCATGGTCCCAGTGTGTGTTGTAAAGTAGCCACTACTTCACAGTCACACCCATGGTAGAATATAGCTTCAATACAAATTATATAACTAAATGTGAGATTGTAGTCCATCACCGGAGCATACTTGGAGCATTGGGTACTTTACAACACACACAGGGGCACCAATTTAGAGATGATTTAACCAGGTGTAATTAAATGGCCAGACAGCGGCTTCTTGGATGCGGGTGAGCGTCCTTTCCCACTAGGCGGCGTGCACGAGTAGGAAATCTGCTTGAAATGTAAACAGCCAGTGATGGTTGTTTACATACAAGCATTCCGGCGTCTGTAGAGACGCCCGATAGCTTATAATATGCATGCGTGTGCGCATATTGCACACCCGCATGGCCATCTGGCCGCCACTGTCCATCCCAAGCAGGCTCCGGACAAGCACAGTGGCTCTGTGACCGGAGATCAAAGGGAGATCAGTAAACAATCTCACTCTGATCTGCTCCCCATTGTCAGAATGCAGGAAGTGATGTATATTACATCACTTTCGCATTCATCTGTCACTCTCTGTCACTCTCACGCTACAGAAGCCGGAGAGAAGCTGGTGAAGCATGTTGCTGCTTCATCAGCTTCTCTGGGGATCCCTAGGTGACATCAGCGGTCTTAGAGAGGACCTGTCACTGTAAATGGGCTGTCACATAGGGGGCTTGTTAGCCCCCTATGTGATAGCAATAAAGTTAAGTAAAAAAAAGGTTAAATAAATAAAAGTTACAAAAAAATTCAAAAGGTCACATATGAAAACAATTAGTCCCCCCCCCCCACATACACATACAAACATGGGTTGGGTGCGCATACATGCAAAAACAACATTTGCACCCACCGCAAATGTTGGAGTGTGAGCAATAATTCTAGGGCCATCAATCGCTAATAAAACTAAACTGATGAGCGGTAACAGCTTTTAAAACTTCGCCTATGGCCAATTTTAAATATGGTAGGTTCTTGCAATTTTGCGGGCACCCGCAATTTTAAAGCTTGACATGTTTGGTGTCTATTTACCCGATGTGACCCCATCTTTTCGATTTTACCAAAAATTTGGGTAATAATAAATGTTTGACAATACAACGTAGCGAAATGTGTTTATTTTTTACATTTTCAGCATGTTTTTTTCTATATAGCAAAAAAATAAAATCCAGTGGTGATTAAATACCACCAAAAAAAGCTCTATCTGTCCCCAAAAAATGGTATAAAATTAATTTCAATACAGCCTCGCATGTCAGAATATATGTCAGTCAAAGTACCGCAGCGCTGAATACTGAAAAATGGCCTGGACAGGAAAGGGGTGTAAACACCCCGGTCATCAAGTGGTTAAGGGTCTACACAAATGATACACAAAAAAGATACAATTTTGTTAATAATTAGAGTACTTGAATGCATTTTTAAGATTTAACTCCTGAGTTTAGTGTACATTTTACGGTGTATTTAACTGTTTGCTTGGTGTTTGATTTTAATTAATGTTGCAGAAAACTCTATAGAGGCTAAACAGTATCAACTTAGTACGCTGTCCTGTGCTTGTACAATGCACACTCAATTTTGTATAAAGCTGTACTTTAAGACCAAAAACTAATAGGTAGAATGGGAACGTGTTACTTCATTTGCTGCATGCTCAAATGCTCTATTCTTTATTACCTAAATCCTTTAAAATAGTTTTAAACCCTACTTCCAAAAAGGATAATTATTATTGTTCAAAGTCAGGGACCTAAGATGAAATTTTCAATATCTGGCTGCTCAAAATAATCTTTCCAGTAAAGACACACAATTCAACATAACCATTCATATTCAAAATGACAGAAAATGGTTAAGTGAAAGCCCTACAGCGTCTACTCTAGAACACAAATCAGATGTGTTCTTGTCATTTCAAACTGACTCAGTAAAACTAGTGGATTCCCAATGTCATCTTGACAGCTGTATTAAACTGATAATATATCTTTGTTTCCAGTGGTGCAGTCAAAGGGATTTTCTTTCACCACCATGTCCCAGATTTTTTTTAAACTAAGGTGCTACATTTTAAGTAAGTGAAATGACTGGAGTCCTAATATGATCCTAATTCCTCTTTATTATTTCAAAGTCAAAATTTAGATGCTAACACATTTTGGCGACACATATGTATATATATATATATAGGGAAAAAACACAAACAAGGGGCGCCTTTCCTGGTGCAGACAAATTTATTAAGAACAGAATAGAAGGTAAATATAAAACATACTCACAAAATTCATGATAGAAGTATAAAAAGTATAAAAGTTAAGTCCATGGACCCAAGGAGAAGTCTATGAAAGCTGCACAGCCGTGTCTATGTGTCAGCAGGAGACTGTGTGATGTGTGATGACGCATTTCCGGGGTCACGCCCCCTTCATCAGATACAGACCTCCTCCGTCCCATGTGCTAAATAAAGAGGTGACTGGCCAATCGGCAAGTGTGCGGGAGCCCTGTCGGTTTAAACCGCAGCTGTTATAGGGTTTGTGTGACGAGTCCTCCGTGGCTTAAGAAATTGAGCCCTGTCCTGTGACTGAGGGATAGCCCGTCATGGCGCTGGACCAATCATGAGAGGGCTATATGTGGGCTCGCCTGGAGGGAGTGGCCAATGTTAGCATCCAATCCACGGGGCAGAAAACCGAACCTTGTTCTGCCAAGTGGCGTATCGATTGTGCAGCATGTCAGCTGTACAGCAAGCACTATGAGAGGGAGGTGGACTGTTTACAGAGAGCAATTTAGAACACATACCATGACAGATGTAAACAGTTCATCGTCAGCTAGCAGAGGATATGCATGCCATGACAAAACAGATTTAAGCTGATAAGCAAGGAATATTAAATAAGTTGCACAATAGATAAATATATATATATACAAACATATACAAAGATATATAAAATTGGGACCAGATGGGATAAGCATAACCCCTATCTGAGACAGACATGAATAAACCATGTATGTGTATAAGAAGATTATATTTATATATATGAATATACATAGAATTAATAAAATCAATTTAAAAAATCAATTTGTAAAAACAACCAATGAGAAAATGGAAATAAGATACATATGAATAAATTATCGGCATTAATGCGTCTTAGCCGTAAGGGAGTGTCAAAATTAATTCTAAATAAGTACATGTAGTCTATGAATGACCTCTTAATAGGTGAAAGGTTAGGCATATTAAATTAATTAAAATGATTCGGATAAAAGAGAAATGGTTTGAGAACTAGACTTGTGCGCCGTCAAAAAATTTGTTCTGTTTCGTTTCGGAATATCCGTATATCGTATTTATATCGCTGGACTTGAGCGACCCTGACAAAGGCCAAATTGCGATGGCTTGAAAACTGGGTCAGAGCTCCTTGTCTGCAGTGGTCAGGACCTACCAAATGTGGTCCAAAGAAGGAAAACTTGTGAGCCAGTGGCTGGGTGTGCAGACAAGGTTCACTGATGCACTTTGGGAGCAAAGGCTGGCCTGTATAGTCTGATCCAATAGAAAACTACTGTAGCTCAAATTGCTGTTAACGCTGGTTGGGATAGAAAGGTGTCTGAACACACACTACATCTCAGTTTGTTGCATATGAGGCTACTTAGCCCCAGACAGGTCATGGTGCCCATGCTGATTTCTTTCCAAAGCCCAAAGTACCTACAATGTGCATGTGCGCATCAGAACTGGACATTGAGCATTGAAAGAAGGTGGCTTGGTCTGAGGGATCATGTTTTCTCTTACATCAGTGGATGGCTGGGTAGTTGTGCATTGCTTGTTTGGGGAAGAGATGGCATCAGGATGCACTATGGCAAGAAGGAAAGCTGGTGGGACAATGTTCTGCTGGGAAATTTTGGGTCCTGACATTCATGTGGATGTTACTTTGATGTACCTAAACATTGTTGCTGACCAAGTACACCCCTTCAGGGAAATAGTATTTCTTGATGGCAGTGGCCTCTTTCAGCAGGATAATGTACCCCTCCACACAGCAAAAATGGTTCAAGAATGGTTTAAGGAACACCACAACAAATTTGAGGTATTGATTTAGCCTCCAAATTCTCCAGATCTCAATCCAATCAAGCCTCCTGATGTGCTGGAAAAACAAGTCTGATCCATGGAGGCCCCAACTTGTAACTTACAGGACTTAAAGGATCTGCTACTGACAGCTTGGTGCCAGATACCACAGCATACCTTCAAAGGTCCAGTGGAGTCCATGCCTCAACGGGTCAGCACAGTTTTGGTGGCAAAAGGGAGAACTACTCAATATTAGGTGGGTAGTCATAATGTTATGGATGAATCGTGTGTGTATATATGAAATAAACTATAGTACAGGTGATACTTCAACACAAAACAGTGGCAGTTACCAGCCAAGGATTAGGAAACACTGTTTTAAAATTTGTTCAGTTAATTCTCAGAAAAAATGCTCTCTTACCTTCATAATATATTTTAAAGCCATGTGCGCTTACTGCAAAGTCACTGGTCAGTCGTAATGAAAATACAGGCCCTGTGCTTGTGACAGGGGGAGGAAGATGAAATCCTGTTAACCTGAAGAATAAAAAAAAAAAAAAAAACAATGAATACAACAATGTTACTTATTTCAGATAAGCCCTTCTTTATATGTTTTTCTTTTTGAAAAACTGATGGTTTTTACAAGAAACTGTAAAAGTTAATAAAATTATCCTTTCTAAAATGTTTAATTGCTTGTCTAAAATCCTTATTTTATTTTACAAATAAACATGCAATACATTTTTTTTGTTGGGTCTAATAATGAGAAAGCCCAGTACTGCCTGCCTACTTAGCTATTACTGTACTATAAAAAATCTGTAAGGGGCCTGTCTAGGCTATTAAGCAAAGAGAGAAACATTAAGACAGAATGAGACCTGCAAAACTGGAGATCTGGTTACACAAGCTTTTCAGAATATTCACAGCATAGCAATAAATAAGTTTAAACGATCTGCAGTACAACAACCTCTTGTGCATCACATGATAGTTGAAAGTGGTGAATATGAAATGTTCATAAGTAATATTTTGCAATTATATAACTAAATACTTTACTATATGGACCAATACAACATATACAAATGCACGATGCTGTTTTCAAGGAAAAATTAAGAAACATAAAGGACAGAGATTTTGTAAGACAAAGCAGCTCATAGTGTAGTGGTGAATATCTGTGGTTAGCCCAATACAATAGAAGAAAATAGGGCTTGTCTCTTAATTGACTTTACATTACATCAGCTCTTTCTCCATTTGCTAAATGGGTACATGATTGTTTCAACTACCGGTGATGCCAAGCCTGACAGAGAAAGTATTTTCATTTGACAATTCCCTATTATAGCTAAGAATGGTGAGCTGTCAGCTAATTTAACAAAAATAATAATTCCAGCCATTTGAAAAAAGAGGAATTATGGCATTGTTTCCAGACAAAAAGGAACACTCTGCAGAGTTTTCCAGTTGCTATCTAAGGATTACTAAAGAGTGATGTGAGAGAGGGAAAGACTCTGCACAGGTACTGTTAGATGGAATAGCAAGAGAAATAGCAAAGACCAATTTAAAGTACATATTTTCTAAAAGAAATATGGGGGCTGTCATGAATTACCTTTTTTGGAAAATGCCAGTTACCTTGGCATTTTGGCTGTTCTGCTGATCACTGGCTTCCATGGTTTCTGAATCATTGACTGGAAACAAGCATGCAAATCCAGAAAGTAATAGGTCCTCACCTGCATACATTTTCTGGATTAGTGACTTCCAGAATTGAAGTCGGAGGGGTCAACTTAACAGATAGGCAAATAGCATTGTCAGAATGAGAAGTCAACAATGGCTGCCTCCATGTTCATCTCAGGAAAAGTATTGCTTAAAGTGACACTAAACTCAGGAGTAAATCTTACAAATGCATTCAAATACCCTAAGTATTAACAAAATCTAGCTTATTTTGGAGGGTGGCTACTTTTGTTTCCCATGGTCCCTATGTGTGTTGTAAAGTAGGCACCAATCCAAGCTCACTCCTGTGATAGACTAAAATGTGAATAGACTATAATTTCAATACAAATTAGCTAACTAAATGTGAGATTGTAGTCCACCATGTGAGCGAGCTTGGAGCTGTAGCTACTTTACAACACACACAGGGACCATGAGGAACAAAGGTAGCCCCCCTCCAGATGGAAGGACAGTGTCAGCACCAATGCAGAGATGATTTGAGGATCTACAGCCGAGTGATACACAAATAAGATACATTGTATTTAATAGTTAGGGCACTTGATTGCATTTTTAAGATTTACTCCTGAGTTTAATGTCACTTTAATATTCCCATAAAGTGGATATTTAACATCTACATAAAACATTGAATTCCTTGCAGTGAAGCAGACAACCAGTTTTTACGTTCATAGTCTATTGTTTCAGTGCTTTGCTACACTGAAAGATATACTATATATCATCTCAACAACTGTTACCTCTGAACGCAACAGGTGGAATTCATCAACATTTTCCGATAATTTGTCATGCTAAATTAATTGTTCCCATTTGTTTCAGACAGATTAAATACTATTTGCTGCAACACAATGGCAGGAATCTTCCAGTGAACAAATACTGGCCACAGGAAACTGCAGTAAAATAGGAAGATTGCCCGGTTTGTTAACCGCTTTAATAAATATGAATTATAAACACAATTGTTCTACCAGGTGATTCAATTATTTTAACTTCACTTGCAGACATGCCAATGTCATTCCCAGCTGAGCCTGTAACTACAGAAGTTTGGAAGCTGCTATTGAAAATAAAACATTTTTATAAGGTGCAGGCCCTGAGTTTATCATTCTTATTCTTGCTTGACTATGTCACTGACCTGGATCAAGCAAGCAGACTTCTCAGAGTATACCGTTTGCATGCCTTCCTCTGTCCAATGACTCATTTGGAAGTAAATCCAGATTTGTATGTGGTGTGACAAAGGAAACTTGAAACAATGTTTAAAGAGTAAAAGTGCACTTTTGTACCAGTCTAAATCAAGTGTATTTAAAACCCAAGAATTCATTTCTTTTATTTGATCTCTTCTGGTCTGTTACATTTACCAATGAACGTGTTTTGTAATATCTAATATCTGATTGTAAGGTCTGTGCTTTCTACATGTACTGACTGTTATCAATGACATTGTTTGCTGAGAAATAAAGAACTACGTCCCTCTATGTTATGGACAATAGGAGAAGGTGAGAGTCATGGAAGCCTCCGTGTCCTGGGCACCTGGTAGGGACTGAAGGCCAGCCTCCTCTCCACCGACTATGGATCTTGGCTAGGAAGGGGTTCTCTTTTAGGACGTGGGTACAAGGAGGCTGTTGGTACTACTTCTTCATCCTGGTACAGGTTGTCACGTTTCCCCAATTACCAGAGACTCTGGGGGTGATTTACTAACCTAAACACACGCACACACCAGGTGCGTGTGATTTTTACACAGCAAAGCGTATTTATCAACCAAAAAGTCTCTAAAAGCATGTTTCCACTAATGCCATATATGGAAAAATCATGCACATGATGCATATATAATGCTGCTTCACAGTTTAGACAAAAATGGTTAGCTCATGCATTTACATTCCTGCATTCATCAACGCAAGCAACACAATGTAGAGCTAATTTACACAACATCACCTTGCAATTCAGTGCAGGGCTTTGCACAACACACCTGTTGGGTGTGTACACACTACAAAGGTGTTTAGATTCCACCCATAGATCATGCTGGGAGGGAACACACTACAGAGGTGTATACATGTTCATGGTGTGTTTATAAGGTTAGTAAATCAACCCCTCTGTGTACTATGGAGCTTGTTGTAGGAGGCCATCTTAGACATTAAAGTCTGTTTGTCCTTTTGTGTGATTGTGTTAATAATGGGATTAACATAACTCTGACACTAAGTGGCTATTCAAACCATCAAGGCTTAAAGGGCAGACGATTGATATTGGCCCTGCAGCTCTGCATGCTGATTTAAAATCATCTTACATTCATTAGTTAAACAAACTTGTTTTCATTAACTTACAAATAGAGTTCATCTACTTCCACTTCTGCACAAATTATGTAAGTGCCAAAGCATTGCATCCTTGGAAGGTTACATCAGCAGAGCATTGCTGAGAAATCTCATCTGTGATCTCATGAGATCTCAGGGAAAAGGCATTTTCCTTCCTTGAGATGATGTGCATGGTCACATGTCCTAGTCACATGTCTAGTCACATGTGGCAGCGTTAAAAAAATAAATGGAGATCTAGTCATCTGCCTTTAGTAAACATGGCCACTGTCAGAAAACTGGGAAAGAAAAGAGAAATAAGGTATGCAAAGAATACAAAGCCGGCAATTATCTAGAAGTATGTGTTTGTAGATTGCCATTACTATACATTTCTAAAGATGTGTTTGTTGTTACTTTAAAGATTTGGGTAAAGGTCCCATCTATACACTTCGTATAGAAAGTGATGATTTAAGGGGACCTTAGACCACTGCCGTGGAGGGGGAAAGAAGCTCCAGGGAACAGTCTAAGAGCAAGTTGGCACCGCGGTTCAGGTAAATATAACTTTTTTGTAACACCTAGACAAAAATTAGCAGTTAACCCTTGCAGTGCCAGTTTTGCCAGTGTTATTCTTTAAAGTATGGCAAATATGTTGCAAATGATGGGACACAAGAGCCTTGATTTTCTAACGGTGTAAAGCACTTTGCAAAGTGGATTTTTACTTGTACCTTAGTGAAGAAGGGGAAGCTGTGCTGACCTTTATCATCCAATTATGTGCAAGCACAAATCCTGATATGTTATTTTTTCCAAAGTAAATTTTCACCACATACACCAAGCAAAGGGAAAATTCACATTGCAAAGTAAACATGCTCAATTCCGAGTCATCAGAATGCAGGAATGTAACAGTCCACAGCTTCTAACTGTGTTACCTGGTTCGACTACTGCTTAATCTTTTCAGCAGATGCAAACAGTTTGAAAGTGTACGTTCAGGCAATTTATTTTAGTTTTGGATACATTTTTACATGACCACTTGTATGAAAAATCATATCAGAACGTTCGATGCAGGAATTAGAAACTTACCAATTGTCATTCACAATGTTGTTTAATTATCATTGTTATTTAACATGCTATTTTGGAATCAATGGAGTTTCCAAACAAAAATCGCATTCACTGTTAGAAATTTGTGCGATTGAGAAATATTTTCCAACATGCTCCTTCAATTTTTTCTGTCACTGCAGTCGAAAACAATAATCAGTTTGACCCCATCAATGATCAGAAAGTCGAAGGAATGTTCCAAAATCAATTTTGTTCATTCGACATTCTAACCATGTATACCCCACTGTAGACTTACAGGGTTATTCACAAAAGGGTGAAGAGTTTGGAGAAGGCAGGAGAAGATAACAATCTGGGACAACATAGCTGAACTGGAAAGTGAGCTGAAATGGAGAATTTTTCCAAATCAGCTATGTTAGACTAGATTGTTCACTTCTCCTGCATGCTCCAAACTCTGCACCCTTTTGTGAATAACCCTGTAAGTGAGTTGTCATCAGAACAAGGCATATGGCA